AATTTTACTAGAGGCGATAACAATCAATAATAAGCAAAGATAGTTGTAGCTCTAAATAAATGCAAATTATAACGCTTTTAGTTTTATTAACACTTTGTATTTTATAAAGCTAGATCCCTTCCGAGGTTGCCTACTCTTTCAAATGTTGACAGCGGCTACGTCTCAGATGATTTATCTGTTGAGTCTAATTTTCGATGACTCGTTCGAGTATTTCGAAAGGTAACTGGGATTGTCCGCATAGACTTTGGACTGTACGAAATCCTTAGATTTACGCTCTGTTTTTGAAGCCAAATACGGCAGAGATCACAAGATTCTATTTCAGGTATCAACTAGTCGGCAATCGTGGCGCGATAACGGTCGCCATTGATGGTTACGTTCTCACCAGCAACATTTCTGAAGAAATATGGACCGATGGTTCCAACTACTAACAAACCACACAAAACCATTGTATTTTCTGGAGGAAACGGCAGCTATTAAATCTCTTAAGGTTGCTCTCCGTCACAAATGCGGAAATTTCACTTGTTTGCCTACCCATTGGGTCAGAAATAGGCTTCGTTGCTGAATCGTCGTAAAATGCGCCAAGTCGTTCCAAACGTCGGTCCGTGCTGCAACGAACTTCGCCGAAACGATTTTCCTACGTCTTCGTATACACTCTTAGCTACGGCCGCTATATTTTCCCTAGTGCGTGCTGGACGTGGTCTATTCAGTTGAATGTTATCCAAGAATAAATGCTGGGTCTCAAGATGAGTGATTTTGTTGGAATAGCGCAATTGAACGATTTGTAAGTCTTTCCAGGCTGAAATGTATAATAATACTGAACAAAAATAACCTCACAGCTTGACACGACTCACGCATGTTTTGCCAAGAGAAGACTATTGATTGAAATGTACCTCTACTTGGATCACCCGTTACAATTTAGAACCTGAAATTTAGTATTCTACTTCCTGGATCACAAATTAGCGGCTTCGAGTCTTTATAACTGCCATGGCAGTCCACTGTCAACGTCATTCAAGGGAAGGCCAGCATGACTGCGTCGTCAATGATTTAAATTTTCGGCTTTTCTAAAGTATTTGCTGTAGGCGAGCATTCATCATCGGCTGTAATATTCTAATATGGCGCAGCGTTCATACATACATATGCATTTCCCATGATAGTTTCAAATCATGCCGGATCCCCTCAATTAAGAAAATTAATTCCTGTCCCTCAAGATAAATATTCACCGAACCGTTTAAATGTACAATTTTTTGTTTAATTTTTTTCGAAGCTGCTGAAGCGTTAATTACGAAATGGAAATTTCTAAAAATCAACTGTGAGCATGCTTAGTATGTACGTGTGTGCAGGAAAGTTCCGCCTACATTTACACTTATATTCGAATGTTTCGACAAGAAAAAAACTGCCAAAAATTCATTATTTGGCTTGATTTAACGAGAATTCAAATTTTGTTAACGGTAGTTAATTGTATCGATTTCCCCCTTTATGGACTCAAAATTCACATTTCAGTATCGGCTGCGCATTTTTAAAGCAAACATCAACATCATCAAAATCATTTGCATTTATATGAGGTCCTTGAAACACCGTTAGCACATGATGCATAAGCAGATATTTACCACTCACTTACAAACATACATACATAAGAGTATATACGAGTATGTGCAAGTTAGTATGTCACTTAGATGCCAATTGCATGGATGTGGATATGTATGGATGTCCTATATGTGTGTTTATATTTAATGGCGCCTCTCTTGTTTGCGCATTAACGCCTTTGAAGCCTGTTACGTTTTGAAATGCAATTAGTCGATTGCCCACACAAACGAAACCATTGCAAATGCATTGGAAGCACGCATTTCCGATTTCTGCCTCACGAATTGTGCAACTGGTGCACACATACATACTCGTATATGTATGTATGTCTACAGTACATGTACATGTGAACACACGCAAGTATTTTTCATTACCTAAGTTGTAGTTTAACTAACAGGTGATTTTCTAGCTTTAATTCGAGCAGCAAATGCAGTTACCAAGTCACACACATCTACATATGCATGCATACATATGTGTGGTATGTATTAAACACAATTTTTTTCTTTCCTTTATACGCGTAATTTAGAACATATTACAGTGACCTCGAAGTGTATGCGCAAGCTAAATATAAAAATACTCGTCGCCCGGTAAATGCTGAGTGAAGTGGAAAATATTGGCTTTAATGCAACTACACACGTATGGATGTGCATGTATTAAATTTTATTTTTAAACTGTCCTGCAGGAAAAAGAACTTGTTGTTAACTAGAAACTCACTAGTTTGCGTTTTTGCATAAATCAGTTCGTCTTCCATCTGTTCCATATGTAATCCACAGGTATTTTTAACAAGGCGAAGTCCCTTGGACTGTAAATTTTACGTTCATTCTCAGCTTCACGATAGCTAAAATACCTGTCTACTTCGGCATCAATTTTACCTCACCCAAAATACAAAAATATTTTGCCTGCAGCGAGACTCGAAATGTAGTTGTAGATAGCAACGAGACTTCGGTGGTGGAAATTAATATTAGGTGTAGTGAAAAGAAGACCATTATTTTTCCAATAGATGGCGTTACTTATCTGATTCGGTTTTGCTTGAGCGTGCGTGAACACTGGGAAAGAGAAAATGCACAATATTTTTCTTCCATAACGGCGAAAGCGAAAGGCTGCTGAAAACGTTAATAATGCACAAAAACAACCGTTTGGAACCATTTGAAAAGGGCTGCATACGAAAACAAGCTCGATGTATGGGTGGCACACGAGTTAACAAAAAAAAGCCGCTTGGATCGAGTTTCCATATGCGAATCGCCTCTGAATCGCAACGAAATCAACTCATTTCGAAAACGGCTGGTCACTGGCGATGAAAAATGTATCACTTACACCAACGTCAAGCGAAAACGGTTCTGGTCGAAATGCGGTGAGCCGGAGAAAACGGTGGTCAAACCAGTATTGACGGCCAGGAAGGCTTGCCTAGTGTGCTTGGTGGTATTGGAAATTATCTACTAAGAGGTGTTCCCTGACGAAAAAACTCTAAACTCGGAGCTGTACAGTCAAAAATTGGATCGTCTGAAGGAAGCAATCATCCAGAAGCGGCCAATAGGAAAAGGATTGAGTTCCATCAGTACAACGCCAGGCCACACACGTCGATTGTGACTCGGCAGGCAGCTGCGCGAGCTTTGTTGGGAGGTTCTTATGCATCCAATATATAGTCCGAACAGGGCATCAAGTGATTACCATCGGTTCCTATCTATGGCGAACAACTTTACTAGCCAAGAAGTTAGCGTTGCGTACTGCCATTCCGACCAACATCCAAAAGCTAAATTTAAAAATACAATAAATAAATAAGTTAAATTTACCGATTGCGGTCGCTCCTCGGTCAACCCCTCCGAGTGTAATTCTAGCATAACGGAGGAGCTCGGCCGAAAATCGCTCCAGCGGTTACAAAGTGTTATTTATATTCCGCTTCCGCAGATTCCATACCGGACATCTTTCCATAGAGAACGAGCCCGAGAAGATTGACCAAAATCCTCCACCGATGGCGGCACTGTAGCTCTGGTGAAGTACCAAATTAATGTAGACCCACGATTGACACAAGAAAAGATTGCTAATGAATTGGGCTTGAATGCCATGGCTGCATCGCTAATGTTAAGTAATCATCTGGGATACACAAAGATATCTGCCCGATGGATACCACGAATTTTACATGAGGCCCAAAAAGAGGCTTTAGTGCATTTTGCTCAATTTTTCCTAAACAAATTCGAAAATGGACAGTCTAGCAACTTTAGTAAAGTCATTGCCTAGGACGAGTTTTGGTTTTATAAGTACGATGTAGAAATCAAACAGCAGTCCATGGTATGGAGCCCAACAGGAGTAAACCCACCCGTAAAATTTACTGCAAAAGGGTACATCGCAGGGTGTTTACCAAAAGTTTTAAAAAAATTGTTTGAGAACAGGAAAAAAGATGATTTTCTGCGCTATTTTTTACATCATAACAACGCGCCATCCCACACTGCGATCTCTGGGATTGAAGAAATACACCCAGCACCATATTCCCCTGACATTGCACCTGAGATATCCGGTTATTTTCATAAATTAAAAAAAAAATTTTTAAATGGAAGGTCTTTTATAGCAACGAGGAGATAATTAAGCGGTTAGTGTTGAACTTGTTAAGCTTAAAAAGCAAGATTTTATGGACTGCTTTCAGAAGTGGATCTATGGGTTGAAGAAATGCATTGAAATCAATGGCGATTAGGTAGAGAAGATAAAAAAGAACAAAGATTACGCATAAATACAAAATAATATTTTTTTTGTGTTTTTTTTCTGATAATTTTACCGAACTTTTGTAAAGCCTCCCCCCTAGTAATTGGCTCCAATGGAAGGTTCGATGGAGTTTAATGGGGAGTTCTTATTTCGTTTCAGACACACTCAAAGGGTTAACATTCCGGTACGCTTAGTGCTATTGCGTCCACACTATTCAATTAGTGATGTGAAATTTTAATGATGAGATCTAAAATTAACTCTCCAGAAACACAGCACAAACTGTGTGGGTATTCAAAACGCTTTCATGGCATATTTACGATGTAATTAACACAAATACAAAGTGAGGTAATTTAATGGAACAGTTATACAGTAGCCTAAATGAAGTTATTCAAACCAAGGAACATCTATGAGGTCAGAAATGAAAATATGGGTGTCACAAGCCCACAAACTGGATGTGATTAAAATAAAATAATTATAAACTTTTTATGAAGTAACATTGACATAAACAAAAATTATCGATAAGAGGTTGCTTACCAGTGTTATATATATATTTATATATAGTATATATTCCCACTTATGTAAGAAAAACTAAAGCTGGAATTTCTCTTTGCAGCGCTAATTTTAGAGGTAAACAAGGTCCAAATGTTAGGCGATTATGACTGTCCGACCTTTCGTTATAAATTCCGACGACGACGACTTACTCGTTATCGCCTCTGCAATAGAAGCCAGAACTAAAAATGGCAGCGGGAAAAATGCATTGCGTAAGATTCCACAGAAAATCCCTTTAAGGATCACTCGAAATGTAATATCGCGAAATGCACTAACACCAACAACTAAATTACCACATGCGATGTATTACAATAACAATAATAGGGCAAACACGCCTCACACGTCCGCAGTCACACCACTGACTTCAGCTGATATGAAGTCCACTAGCACCCTCCTGTATGATGAGCCCAACCTGGAAGCCATCAATCGCTCACTCTGGCTGACAACAACTGTCAACGGCAGCGCAACATTCGCCAGCAGCACAGACATTCCCCTACAAACATTGCGCATGGCCAATACGACGAATAACATCACAACTGCCATTGACGCTGACGAGGAATGGGCGCGTTTCTACGACTTGATGTTGTCGTGGCAGGGCATTTGTCTAATTGCCGTCTTCAGCACCTTTATTGTGGTCACCATCATTGGCAATACACTTGTCATTTTGGCCGTCATAACAACGCGTCGCTTGAAAACGGTCACGAACTGTTTTGTCATGAGTTTAGCCGTTGCTGACCTATTGGTGGGGATATTTGTAATGCCACCGGCTGTTGCTGTACATTTAATAGGTGAGAAACATTTAAAATTTCAACTTATTACTTATCGATTGTTTGTTGTAGTTATATTGAAGATGTGTTGACTAGACTTAACGAAATAAGATGTTGGTGTTAAGGGTATCTCTGGGTGGCAAAGGTTGGTCCTTGTATTTTATTCATAGCGATATAAAAAAGCGCGAATTTCGGGTAAGCTTTTTGATAGGAGCGATAGTAGATAACTTACCAGTAGGAGTGTAGGCCGATCTGATCAAATATATGTATAACGAGTGCCTGGAATGCTTCTAAAAGTACTACCGCTCATCGTAATATCATGCTTGACGATAACGCCTTGATGCCTAAAGAAGTTATTCGACACATAGCTAAAACATGCACTATCCAGGGCACGTATCTGATAGCTGTCATGCCATAAAAGACGAAAGACGTTGCTCACAATGCGCTACAATTTCTATGTAGCGCATTGTGAGCCACGCCGCACTAAAGCATAGAGGAAAGACACTATCTACATTACATTATTGTGATCAGAGAGAAAGAGGCAGAGAGGGCAGCGATACGTGTTTTCTGTCAGGAGAGGGAGAGGCCAAACAAACTCCTATGACTACAAAGAGCTCAGCTTTTTATCAATAGACTATCAGAGTATATTAGATTTATGGTGGAGATATTTCCCTTCCGTGACCAATGAAAGTGATTAAGAAAACACTTGAACTGTACGACATATGCATGTATAATACTCCACAAATAGATGAGACGATTTTGGCATGCCCAGCTGTACGGTCGTCCGTCTGACCATGCAATGAATAACTCGAGCAAAAATGTGGATCTGACTTGGTGCATAGGACTCATAAGTTATTGTAAATTGGCTAAGTTGTATTATTACCACTCCCACCAAGAGGCCGGCACAATTCAGTAATATCGAATAATAATCAGATCTTCAGAACGACGGGTTCACCTTATGAAAGGATGAAATGGATGTGGGAAGTGTAATCTTCAAATCTGTTTGGCATAGCAGAAAGGTTCAGTATCTAATAATTAGATTCACCTGAACTTATCTCTACCTTATATGAATTAAGTTTCTGACTTGTCTTTTTTGTGCTAATCGCAAATATAATATTTACTTTGCATTTTTATTTAACAATTCGAAAGAATAAAGCCGCGATCCCATAGAAAGTACTTTGAAGCAAAAAGTGTCTTATGTTTACAAAATGCCAGATATGACGGAATAGGGATTTCCCAATCATTCCAATATTTATATAGTCTCCTATACATAACTGCTCAGAAGTAGTTTTACAATTTTCAGACACTCACCAAAACACGATCAGCGACATGGCGTTTAGTTTGCCTAACCCGACTGTGAAATCGAAGGCGAAGAGACGGGATGGCGTACATCCAAAAATTGTCAAATGTTTGCGGCTTAAAATGTTGTAAAATGTTACTCATGCTACTTAGAACTTCAACAACATTCTAACCCTGTCTATTTTCCCTCAATTTCGGAAGTTAATTAAAATCTTTCCAATTACAAAATCTAATAGTTGTAGTAATCACGATGTATATATTCTAGTATGTAATCATTGTTATGGAAGTCAGTGTATATTACTTATTTTGTGTGTCCCAAAAGTATGCATTTATAATATTAGGTCCAGTAAAAAGTTCGTTCGGTTTTTATCTAAGAGATGGCATTATTGTCCAAAGTACTAGTGTTACGTGTCGCATCGTGTCATACTATACAGCGCTAAAAACGTGTTTATTCGTGCTAAAAGTTTGTCTTTGACAGTTTTTCGATTGATTAACTCAGCACGTTGTGAGCGTTCGTCAAAGATGGACACCATCAAAACTCGCTGTTTTTACAATTTTTCTTCGATCAAGGCGAAAAAGCAGCCAAAGCAACTGAAAAAATTAATTTAGCTTATGGCCTCGACACTGTAAACGAACGTGTAGCACAAAAGTGGTTTGCTAAGTTCCGTTCCGGTTATTTCGATGTCAGAGATGCACCAGGTTTTGCGGTGTGTTTGATAGGACAGGCAAGAAATCATCTACTAGGAGCTGCTCCCCTATAGCCAAACGCCAAATTCGGCGCTCTACTGCCAGCAAATGGACCGCTTGAACGCAGCACTCATCCAGAAGAGGCCATCTTTGATCGACAGAGGGCGAATTGTGTAACATCTGGCGACGCGCCAGAAGCTCCAGGAGCTCGGATGGCAGGTCCTAATGCACCCACCTTATAGTCCGGACCTGGCACCAAGTGCTTACCATATTTTCCTGTCCTTGGCGAACGCGGTTAATGGTGAGAAGTTGGCCTCAAGGGAGTTCTGTGAATATTGGCTCTCCAAGTTTTTTGCCAACAAGGACGCAACCCTACTCTACTCTACGAGAGGGGTATAATGAAGTTGGCATCTCGTTGGCAACAAGTTTACGAACAAGCGGCGCATATTTGACTTAAATCGAACAAATGTAAAAAAAAACTTTTTACTTGACCTAATATTAAGCTATTCCATATAACTTTGAATATAAGTCGCTGCTTACGTTAACGCGCATCTTTTTTTCATTTCTGTGTAAATTCTTTCTTCTTTACTGCTTTAGCATTTATGTATGTTAATAAAATAAAGAATCAGAGTTGAAGTGACATTAAAACAAAGCTCATTTTAACAATCGGCTTGCTTCCTGAGCCAAGTATGAACATACGTGTACATATATCACTATAATGAAGTGAAATTAAAGAAATACGCTGCAGAATTCGTTGACATTGATAAAAATTGATATATCATTTTGAATAGACATTTTTCATATGACAATCGCATATATACTGCGTGAAAATTTATTATTTGTGTCCTATTAGACTTAATTTTTCTGGTCACGCTGCCTTATATGATCAAAACCATCCGAAAAAACGTTTTCTTAAAAAATGAATCTCAAACCATTTGACCCACTAAGCAGCTAATTTCCTCCCACTTCTTAGACTTACAACCAACTACGTCATTATGTCCAATCCTACATTTAAAGTTCTGTACTATTAAAATTTATCTTAAATAATACTGTTAATTTCTCTGTCAATGGAAAATCCTTACTACATACCGATCTACAATATAACTATATCAAAATTGTTGAAAAAGGCATATAAATATTTTTGGAATTGAGAATTATTTGACCAATTTGGCTAATATTTTTTTTTCCAATTTTTAGTATTTTAAAGAAAAATATGTTTACATTTAACTTTATCGCGGGTAGAGAACCAGGGAGCGATTTATACGATCCGATTGCAAAAATGGTTCTTAATAATCGTACCTGTGGTTCGGTTTTCTTGAAATTTCTGTCCTGAAACGCCTTAGTAAATTTTATAAGAGGGTTGTTGAATTGAATAATGCATTCTATTAGACGAAAAAGTAAAGGGTCTTGGTAAACCGTCTTTAATGTTTGTTCTTACCCCGAAAATCTAATAGGCTACTAACATATCATAAATCACTCTGGAGTTAATCAATAACCAATAGCACGGAATTGAGACTAATTATACTATCTACATATGTATGTATATATATGTATTTAATGCGCTTTGCAACAGCTGAAGCGATTTCCGGCCGAGCTCTGCTCAAAATTATAATTTGGGTTTCGTTGGAAGTGTCTACAATTTATTTCCAGACACCTTCTAATGGCGTTGGATCTTCATAAAAAGATTTTGTGTCATGTTGGAAATACGCTCGGAGGAATTGATTACTCCAAGCGGCGACCGCCATTAGAAAAATTTATATTCCATAATTTTGGGAGTTGATCGGACTGGAAATCGAGCCCAACAATGCAAAAACTTAATTTTTTTTTCATTAATATTGCTCAAATCCTAAATTTTTCGAACCAACAAATTTAATTTCAACGAATTCGCAACTTCGTCCACGGCATTGTCACCCACGTTAGGAAAGCATGGTGTCTATTCTACCAGCAAATCATCAAAGCGGCTGGTTAGTTTCAACTTACATTTTTACTGGTATATACATATATTATGCGCAAATAAAAACAACCCAAACACCCACATAAAGTCCTTAAATAAAAACAAATTGGTTTCTGTCGTCCTTTTTGATATTTCCTGCTGTTTATTTTACATTTTGTTGTGAAATATTTTTAATTCAATTTTATAGGTATTTTTCTTGGTAAGAAATCACTTAAATGCCCTGTCCTTCTCGTTTGTTTTCATTGCAGGCTCATGGCGCCTGGGTTGGGTGCTCTGCGATATTTGGATATCTCTGGATGTGTTGCTCTGCACTGCGTCTATACTGAGCCTTTGCGCCATAAGCGTGGATAGGTAAGAAGAATTGTATTTTTTTTTATTAAATTCCATGACATGAACCTGCAGGACACTGTAAACTACATTCAAAAGGACATACTTTACGAATGCGGACTGAATATTTAAAGATAGGAAAACTGTTGAGCTGAGTTTTTTTTTCAATTAAAACCAAATTTATAAAATCTGTAATTCATATTCGGAATATGACGCCGAAAAGGCAATTTTTTAAATTTTTAGCAAAGCAATTCATTTTTATAATCCACTTTTATTTGCGATTTTATTTCTTGTCCTTTTTGCCGTAGGTACTTGGCAGTTACGCAACCTCTGACCTATTCACGCAAAAGGCGCTCAAAGCGTTTGGCATTCCTTATGATTTTGGTTGTTTGGATTTTGGCGTTGGCCATCACGAGCCCACCAATGTTGGGTTGGTAAGTAAGATATAACTGTACATGTTTGTGTATACAAGTTTTTACATGTCAAAACTTAAATTAGCTGAGCAAAGAAGACCTAAGTTTGTATTTAACCCTACTTAAACATAAGATTTCTTCAGATATTCTTTGCGCCGGATTATGGAGGCCGTAAGTCTCAAATTAGAACGCCTCATTATGTGGGCCATATGAGATGTGGGCATAAACAGAAATATGAATTAATTTTAAAGGTATTTTGGTAAATTTCACTTAACATTTGAATAGAAAAATTCTTTGGATTTAATTTTTTGAAGTTTATCTCTTTCTACCGGCGTAAAATGTAAAATTGACTGTTCACCGAAGTGTTTTCTCAATAAATGTACTGCCTGATATGACAAGTGTGAAAAGGCGCTTGTTAAAGCATCAAATAGTCGAGGTTACGTTCTCACCAGCAACATGTTTGGTTCCACAGGCCAATAAACCACACCAAACCGTTGTATTTTCTGGAGGAAATGACCGCTCTGTTTGTTTGTATATCCATTGAGTCGGAAATGGGCTTCATTGTTGAACAAAATATCGACGTGAAATGCACCAAGTCGTTCCATACGTCAGTCCGAGTTGCTGCGAACGGCGCCGAATCAACTCTCCACGGTCTTCGTATAAACTCTCAGCTGTGGTCGCTAAATTTTCTTCACTGCGAGCTTGAAGTGGTCTATTCGGTCGAATATTATTGAATAACGAATGCTGGGCCTCTAGATGGGTGATTGCGAATAGTACGCTCATTAGGCCGATTATGTTTACCATACGTTGAGTGAATAATTTTTCGTTTTCGTAACAAAGTTAGTCAGCCGTGGGTCTTTCCGTGACAAAAGGCCAAATAATACTGAACAAAATAACTTGACAGCCTGACACGCCACACGCGTAATCTGTCTAAAAATTGCTATTGAAATAAGTACCTCTACTTGGGTCACCCAGTATATGTGCAATATGCGTTGTGATGTTGTCAATAATATATTATTATTAATATTTCTCTAGTTGGAGGCGCTAAGGAGCTGGAATAAGTAATATCAACGTAATTAAATTATTACTTGACAATTTTCCCGAAATTTTTGGGGAGTAATGCTACCGTGCTCTCGTCATATGCTTATTACAGGCTTCTAAAGCTTCTTTTGAAAAGGATCTGGCTATGAGGGAAATAAAGTTAATTATATATGTAAAATTATATATGAGCAAAATATTATCATTAACAATTGTCCATTGAAAAACTGTATGTTTTCGGTACCCTGGGCCAAATATTTGGTTTTCCAAGTCTACATTTTGTCATAATTTGAAGGCTGCACCTCAAGGTTGTGGCCGATATCACAAACGATTACCAAATTTCACCGGAAAAGTTTCTCGACTGTCAACAATACTTGGTGTGCCTTGGTGCCTGTTTTCGACAACAGCATTGTTTTTAGCGACTTCGAAAATGTCCGGATTTGTGTTTAATAAACAGCATTTGCAGCTGAAGTCCATCCAATGCTTGTGGAAGTTTATAGTGAACTTAGCCCAACTGATAAATCATGTAGAAAATGGTTTAGAGATCTCAAAAAAGATAATTGTAGAAGATAAAAAGCGTCCTGGTGAAGATGGCCATTGTTGAGAAACTTCGTCGACACAACTAATGAATTTGATTATTTGCGCTCGACTCTACGTGGTTAGAGCGGTCAAAAACTGCGCGGAATCGCTGAAATGGGAGCTTTTAACTGCCATTTTCTCCAGATGGAAAACGATTTGGGTATTAAAGGTTCAAGTATATTGAAAATATCCAAGAGTGTTTCAATGATTGGAACGTGGGCAAAAATTTCCAGGGAGATCGGGAAAAGTAGTCGTTTCCGATGGACAGTCCTATGAGTGATACATCAAATAAAAAAAGTTAATTAATTCGCACGCACGTTCGGTCTAGTGAAAAGTAGTCCATTATTTTTGCAATAGGTGACTTAAATTATTTTGTATCTCGCGTTCTAAAAGTCCGATCGGATTACTCTCGATGGCATTAGAAAGATAATATAAATTTTGCACTAAAAAGGACAATGGGGGAGTTGTTGTTGTTATCGCTTTACTTGAAGCCAGCACACAGGAAACACACCATATTCTACAATTTTTCTTCGATAAAGGCGAAAACCCAAGTCAGGTAGCTGAAAAAGTGTATAGTGTTCATGGTTCTGATACTGTAGCAGTCAATAATGCACAATTCTTGGTATAAACGATGATCCACGTGTTGAATATCAATTATTATCGAGTCTGACCGTCAGCGTGCACTGTTTCAACAGTTTGGAACCACTCAAAAAGACTGGATACTCAAGGAAGCTCAATGTATGGGTGTCACTTGAGTTAACGGTAAATCGTAACAGAATCGATCCATTTCTGAAGCGGAGTGTGACTGGTGATGAAAAGTCAAATGAAAAATGTCTTGGTCGAGAGGCTTTGAGCCAGCGCAAGCGGTCTCCAAGACAAGATTAACGGCCAAGAAAGTTTGGTTAAGTGCTTTGTGCAATTGACAAGCAGTCACCCGCTATGAGTGAGACCAGTACTTTCAGCAGTTGGCCCACCTGAAAGAAGCAAACGACCAACTTTGGCCGGCAGGAGGGGAATTGTGTTACATTAGGATATCGCCAACGACACAAATCGATAGTGCTTCACCAGAAGCCGTGGAAGCTAGGTCGGGAAGTTCTTATACATCCAACTTATAGTCCGGGCCTCGCAAAAGGTGATTAAACCCTGTTCATGTGAACGGCGAACGATTTGGCTGGCGAAGAAATGTGAAAATCGATTATCCCAATTTTATGCTTGCCAGTAGGGAGACACATAATGCCATTACCTACAAAATGGCAAAAAAAACTATCAAGCAAAGCGATGCACGTTCGACATAAATCGCCTATTATTAGCTATGATAAATAAAGTCTTCAATTTAGTGCAAAAATGATAGATTACTTTTTACTGGATGAATTTTATCATATTTACATTGCTTATGTACTTGTATATGGAATGATACCTGATTTTCCTTTTTAAATGTTGATGGCATTTTTCCTAAATTTCAAATAAATTCTTTCCTAAGTCGAGACATGCTGTTGAATCGGTACCAATCCGGCTTTAGATCTAACAGGAGTTGTATAACGGCGCTAATTAGGATTTTGGGTGACATCAGGCTCAACATAGACAAGTAGACGAGTAACGTTATTAACACTTTAGGATCATCTCAAAGCTTTTGAAACTGTGAATCATGAACTTCTAGCTTTGAAACTTAGCAATTTGTTTAATTTCTCTTTGACAGCAACATACTTAATAAAATCATATCTAAGTGATCGCTCTGACACGTAACTAAAGGTGTTCCACAAGGATCTATTCTTGAGCCTCTGTTATTTGTTTCATATGTTAAGGGCCTTCAAAGTGTATAAAAATACTGTGACATTCATTTATGGGCAGATGATGTTCAATTATATGTCAGTTGTGCTGTTGAATCCGTCAATGGTTGCATTAAAGACCTCAATACCGATTTCGATTACGTTAGCAAATGGGCCAGCGATAATGGTTTACTTCTAAATCCTGGTAAATCGTAGTGCATTGGCGTTTACCAAAAAACCTTCCAACTTGTTGGCTACAATGAAGTGAAACTGAATAACTCTGTTATTAAATTCGTGGATACTGCCAAAAATCTAGGAATACTCTTCAATAGAACTTTGTCTTGGGACAGCCACATTTATAGTGCCATAGGTAAGGTTTATGGCATTCTTCGGGCTTTATAGACTATTCAGCATTTCACACCAATAAAAATTCGATTGTTATTCGCAAAAACTTACCTTTTACCGACCTTACTTTATGGTTGCGAACTGTTTGCCAGCTGTGACAGTCTATATTGTAGTAAACTCAATGTCCTCTCTACCATAACATCGCCAGATATGTATATGGTGTAAATCGTCGTGAGAACATAAGTACTTTTGCATTATAATTATTTTCCATTAAACTCGACGATTTACTGAAGTTGAAGTGCCTAATGTTACTTCATAACGTTCTTAGCTCTCAGGAACCCAAATATCTTTCGAGTTCAATTCACTAGGTCTACCCGATCAATCAACTTACTTAGCGCGAAGTACAGTTGCCTGGTATCGGAACGTCAATTCTTTGTTTTTGCTGTTCAACTTTGGAACGCCCGGCCACAAGGGATCAAAAGCGTGCGAAGTACGCAGCGCTTTAGAAACGAAATCCTACATCACCTTGCATAATCTATTAAGTACGCGTTATTGTCCAAAGTACTCGTGCTACATGTCGCATTATGTCATACTATACGACACTCGAAACGTGTTTGTTCGTGCTAAAAGTTTGTCTTTGACAGTTTTCCGATTGATTGACTCAGTATGTTGTGAGCGCTTGTCAAAGATAAGGCGAAAAAGCAGCCAAAGCGACTGAAAAAATTAATTTAGCTTATGGCCCCGATACCGTAAACGAACGTGTAGCACAAAAGTGGTTTGCTAAGTTCCATTCCGGTAGTTTCGATGTCAAAGATGCACCAGGTTTTGCTGTGTGTTTGGTGGGATTGGCAAGGAATGATCCACTATGAACTTCTCTCTATAGCCAAACGCTCAATTCGGCCCTCTACTGCCAACAAGTGGACCGCTCGAAGGCAGCACTAATCCAGAAGAAGCCATCTTTGATCGACAGAGGGTGAATTGTGTAACATCAGGACAACGCCAGGCCACACACGTCTTTGGTGACGCACCAGAAGCTCCAGGAGCTCGGATGGGAGGTCCTAATGCACCCCCCTTATAGTCCGGACCTGGCACCAAGTGATTACCATATTTTCCTGTCTATGGCGAAAGTGCTTAATGGTGAGAAGTTGGCCTCAAGAGAGGCTCTCCGATTTTTTTGCCAATAGGGACGTAGCCTTCTACGAGAGGAGTATAATGAAGTTGGCATCTCGTTGGCAACAAGTTTACGAACAAAGCGTCGCATATTTGACTTAAATCGGACAAATGTACAAATGTAAAAAAACCGAACGAACTTTTTACTTGGCCAATACTTGTATAAAATTAGGTACCTAAAATTTTTGCATAAACTGTGCGAGGGAAATGTTTATCCAATCTTTATATTAAAACAAACAACTCTTTATTGCGATTTTTACTGTGGAACGGTCTATGCGTTGGTACGAATCCGCAACACAAATCGAAAGAAAAAAAAAACAAAATATGTAATATGAAAAGGATGTTGGAAGAACTATAAAAATTTTTCATATATAAATATTTTAAACTAAATTTATAATTTAGTTATGCTGTTTCTACTTCAAACTGTTGAATAATAATTTTTCGGGGTTTATAACATTTTCGCTTTCATCTAGTTAAGAATATGGAAAAAGAGAAATCAATAATAATAAGAATATCTGCAGTGGCTCTCAAACTATGAAGGCTTTTGGATTCAACATTTTCAAAGGAAATAATTAAAAATCGAAATGGACCGAAATTGTTTCGAAAAAGGAATAATTTGTCTCTACTTTTTGAAAAAAATATTTTCACTTGAAATTACTAAAAGCCAAATTAATTTATTTATACGCTTTGGTTTCTTTCTCCTTATGCGACAGGTATGAGCCCGGGCGAAGGGATCTGAGTGAATGCCGCTACAACCAAAATGAAGGTTATGTGATCTTCTCCGCTATGGGCTCGTTTTTCATTCCAATGGCTGTTATGATTTATGTCTATGCGAGGATTTCTTGTGTTGTTGCGTCGCGCCACGACCATATGACAGACATTAGTGTACATAATAAGGTGAGTAAACTCTTGATCATAGCAATTTATATTAGATCGTAAGAATTGAAAATTTATTAGAAAATTTGCTTGAATTATGAAGAGTTTTATTTATTTTCTTCGTCAAACCCACACACTTGTCTGTATATGCTTATGGTTAATTTTTAATACTTTTTTTATTTTCTGATTTTATAGAAATTCAAACGCTACACAGCCGCCGATGTGGAAAATGACGTTGACCATGATTTCTCTGAACAGGAGCTTAGTTCGGGTCAGCGAAAGCAAGCAGCTGCCCGCACATTTTCAAATCAAACCATAGCCAAAGATTTGCATGACGCTATGCTATACGAACGAGAAAGTGGTGGCGCCAATACAACAACAACCGTCGGCAGTAGTGGCATCGGCAATGACGGCGCTTCCTCGTCACATAGTCACTCCCTGCTGGCGCTGAGTGCAGCGCATGCCAAGAATAGCTGTTATGAATTGACGCGTCCGTCGTCCTTGAAACGCACCCCCACATCGTCCTCCACCATGACAGTTATGACAAGTGGTTGTGGCGGCACGAGCGCTTCTCCTGCCACAGGCGTTTGCTTAAATGTTCCCTCTGTTGGTAATACAACAAGCGATCAACATTGGCCAACACGTACGCTAAGTGCGAGACATCACCATCACTTTGGCGCTTCTGGCAGCGGTGGTGGTGGTGGTGGTAGCGGTGGCGGTGGTGTTGTAAGTTCGACAGCACCGGCAGATATTGCAGCCACATCACCAAATTTGCAACCGGAAGCTGCTGCATTGACACGACATACACGCATACAGCAGCAGCAACAACAACAACAGCCACATCACCATCATCATGGTAAATCCTTTTCCAATCGCATCACTTCGTTGAAGAAAGAAAACAAAACTACACAAACGCTGAGCATTGTTGTGGGGGGTTTCATCGCTTGCTGGCTACCGTTTTTCATTTGCTATTTGATCACACCCTTTCTGGGAGAGCATCAAGTCAGTCGGACATTGGCAAAGGGACTCACCTGGTTGGGGTGGTTCAATAGCGCCATAAATCCCTTTATTTATGCTTTCTACAGTGTTGACTTTCGGGCGGCATTCTGGCGGTTGACTTGCAAACGCTTCTTCAGCGGATCCATGCGACCACAGTTTCCCACGAATACCATGTCCATACGGCGATAGTTGTACGCTTTGCAAGTGTATTCCACATGAGTAAGGCACAGTTAGACACAAAATATTAGTTAAGATGGAATAATTTATAAATAAGCATTTTAAATAGAAATTGCACTGTAAACAAAGCAAAAAAAGTAGGACTATTATCACAGATATACTCATATATAACAGTACTTAACTGTGTTAAATTTATATATATATAAAAACTAGGTGCTTGTTAGCTAAAAAGACGAATATGGAGCTCATTTTGATCGCTCGCTCTAGTTGAATCATTTGAATATTTAATTCACATCATTCAAACGGCCATATTAATTAATTAAATTGATTTCATAATGAATAGTAAAACTTTGTCCATCTAAAGTTCTTAAATCTCTATGTTTATCTGCGATACCGGGGATTATGCTTGGTTACTCTTAAGTTCTTAAACGTTTCCCATTCTCATTCAATGAAAGCCCACCATACGCACACTATTTATTTGTATACATAAGGAAGTTGAAGCGTAAATTACAAAAAAAAATATCTTCTTTACTAGCTTCACTGCTTGGAGATACCAAGTTCAACCAGGTCCTCCTCAACCAGGTCCTCATAACTGACTGCAGGCCCCCCCTTTCTTCCGCTTCCACCGGCGGGTACGGCATCGAAAACTTTCACAAATGAAGTATTCTTATACGTCCGGACCATATAACCTGGCCAGCGCCGTTGCTGTTTCTTGATTCGCTGAACTAAGTCAATGTCATCAAATAGCGTTGTATTTCCATTCTGACACTTTTATTGGTGTTGATGCTGGTTCCAGAGATAGCAGATCTCATGGCGCCGTTGTTGACGCCAATGATTTCAATATCATCGGCGTACGCCAGTAGATGTACACTCTTATAGAAGATTGTACCTTCAGTCAGACGACTAGGAATCACTCGATCTAAAATGAAGTTTTATATCGAACGGCTCAATATGCTCAAGAATTATTTATTTTTTTTTATAGGGAAATTAATATACAGAGCAATGTCTACCGGGCACAATAGTAGATACAAACATGGCGATTATTTACTTTAAGAGTGTCATTACTCAAGAATTATGATTTCCCAAGAGAGAATATTAAAATATCTTCTGATTAAAGTTTTTGTCAAGAATCGGTGCAATTCAACACCAAAACTTTATTTTTTGCATGCAAATTTAACATCTAGAAATATCAAATGAAATAAATATCGCATCGAAATTGAATGGGTCATGCGTGGTATTTTACAGTCCAATGATAAATAAGAAAATATAGACATCTTTGAATAAACTGATGCTTCCATACCTTTAATAACCTCATCAAATTTATGGTATTTCATTCATCTGAAACATTGGTTGGTTGAAGTTTTACGATTTACGTGATTATCTTTGACAAGAACACAGAAGTCGTGTAGATTTTTAATCCAAAACCTCTTATAGGAACAATTGGTTGTAATGTTTATTTATATATATATGTGTACACTGCTCATAGATGCTTTTCTGGCAGAGTTGACCAGCTCTTCATACCTGAAAAGATTGGTATATGTCATTGTCTTCCGATCTCGAATATTATCAGCACCAACATGTAGCTCGTCATATGTGTGTAGAATTTCAAATTTCGTGCTTTTAGCTACTTTTTTGACTAATTTATTTTTTTATTAATTTATTTACTCTTGGCCGCGCCTCTCGAAGGTGAATGCCCCACTCTTTGGGAAAGACCTCGGCCGAAAATCGACATAGCGGTTACAAGCGCCAATTGTTTATACCGAAAATTTTTTTTACTTTATCGATCATCGCTTTTTGGGTATTTTCTTCGCTTAAAGGTGGTGTTTTTTTTTACTTATTTCGCTTTGAGTGATATTAGTATTAGTATTAGTTTCTGTAACATTTTAAGAGTTCTGATTAGTGCAGCTAATATAGAAATTACGATCTTCTCTTCGAATTTCGGTCATTTAAAAAAAGAAAAAAATGGAGAATTGAAAGGCCAATAACCTACACAATACTAAAATTTCCTTTCTAAAATCGATGCATTGCAAAATATCTGCCACCGTTTAAAGTTGGGTGTTGATTTGAAGAGAAGGGATCAAATCGTATTTGTTAAAGCAAAAAATTTAAAAAAACTGTGTAAAGATATTAATTAAAATTTTGTAATTTCAACCAAATAAAATTTACTTCATTCCATAACTTGAAAATATTTTTTAATATCGTAGTTGCATTTATCCTCACCAAAAAGTTAGCAATGGGGCTTGTGTTTGAGTTATAATCCGATCAGCATCCAAAATTACAGAAAATTGATCTTTTTAGAGACGATTGTCTTTCGTCGGTGTACTTCTCACATGATATAAAAGCTCCTCCTAATAATCCATTGGATATTCAGAGGTGGCTTAGAATAAACTGTAGGTCCCTCTAATAAAAAAAAATCTAATTTCATAATTTAATACAAAAATGCACCTCAAAAAACTCAGCTTATCATGTTGAATAAGTGAAATCAAAATAAGCCAGCCGTTTCACAGCAACTCTAAATAAACCGTTATATTTGGCTGGTAGCTTATCATTCATGTTGAGGTTTTAGTTTTATGAAGTGAGCCGAATATTTATTTTTTGATACCAGGGTGGGAAATTAAAATTGAGCCAATACACATTGATTGATAAAAGCTTCAAATGCTCTCATACTCCAAGCTGCCAGCGCCATAAACAAACTTGCCAGTGCATGGTTCGCTCGTAAACGCTTCACCGAATCGCTTTAGTAGCAGCAGTAAAAAGAAAAAACCATTTCTGTCCGATAAGAACGTCAAGGTGCGTCTAAAATTCTGCAAAACGCATGAGAACTAAACGCCAGGGGATTGAAAACATGTTATTTTGTCTGATGAAACAAAAATTAAGCGGCTCGAACCAGTTGGCAGAAAATACTTCTGGAGCAAACCTCATGAATCGATTCAAAAACATCGTGTGAAGCAAACTGTCAAATATGGCAGAGGTAGCTTCTTGCTTTGGGGTTGTTTTACTACATGACATTTGGGAACAACTGTGAGTAATAATAGAATAATATGGTAAGAGGAATACCTCCAAATTCTTCAAAGCAATTTACCCGATTTCGGGGTCCAAGAATGTAGTAATTTTCCAGCCACACGGTGATCCCAAACACGCGGCGTAAATCGTGCATAATTTGATATCTGGAAAAAATTTCAGATACTGAACTCAACAGCGCAAAGTCCAGACATTAATCCCATTGAAAATTATTGACCAATATTGAAGAGGCGCAAAACAATCGGCCACCCACTATTTATCGATGACCTTAGAAACCGTATGAGGGCAGAAGAATTTGATTGAAAGTATGCCGTGGCGAGTAAAAAACGTTATTAACAATATGGGATTGTGGATACCGTACTAAACTTTATAATTTATGGTCTAACCACAGGGACGTGCAAAACTGAGTTGGTTGAGTTGATTTATGTTTTTTTATTATTATTGTGATATTGAATAAGTCATTCGTTTCTTAATATAATAAGACAAAACTTTTAAATATTTCATATAATTTAAAACATTATTTATCATTTTATAACACTTTTAGTAAAAATGTTTATAGTGAATAAAATCTCACTTATGCTCGCCGGTTTATGTATGTCTCTCTAAGCCCAACGAAATGTCAAAAACGAATTATTTGAAAACCTGCAGGCATAAAAATTGTAGCAATCGTTAGTCAATTCATTTCAAAAGTAATAGTTAAGATTGCTATACTCCTCAAAATGCAAATCGGAAACGACAAATTCATGAAAATGTCATAGCGTTTGGGCGCACATACAGACCGGATGAGTGATACGCATACCGCCTAGGAAGATTGTTTTGCATCTTTGGACACTTCACTTTCTAAATTTCCAACTATGGTGGAGCCATTGTTAGGCAGGAACATCTCTTCGCTGCAATCGAGAATCTCTGTATGAGTTGCACGAAGCATTTTGTCAGGTAGTTCATTCGGATTCTTATAACTTCAGGCTTAACTAGTAGGATACCAAGGCCTTCGTGTATGTCTACGTTTCGAATGTACCACGGTTCGCCCGTCATTAATCTTAGAATTTTGGACTGAAACCTTGGTGTTTTCTCAATATTAGTACAATGACTCACTCAGTTGAATACCATGCATCCAATTGGCTATGTAATATCATTTTAGATGAGTAATTTGAATTCTAGTTCTAACTTAGAATTCTTATGCAAAAGCCACCTTTACTAAGCTACCTTTATTTTCATATGCAATATTTTGATATCCATGTGGATAAGTGTATACCGATATATGTTCAACGTTTGTTTGGAGAATATTTTTACTGTTTAATCTCATTGGACGCCGTGTGTGTGGGCGCAAGGTAAATTTAAGGTGTTCACATTTTTGTTTACTGACTTTAATCTGCCAGCCATTTTTCGATGAAAAGTAAGTGATCCCCATTCGTTTACAGTGTCTTTCCTAGGACATTTTTTACAGCACAACATGCCTGTATCTTCTGGAAAAGTAGGTATTTCTACTATACAGTTTACCGAGATGTCTTCGGAATTCGTAATGTATGGACCCCAGAACGCCAACTTTTTTTGGCAACTACTCATAAATTCCGATTGTTTTATGATAAATCGCCTGTTAGCTAGAAAGGACTCAAATATATTGGATATGCAAAGTTTAATAAATTCTGTAGGAAAGATCTCGTGTAACTTTCCAATGTCATCCTTCAAATTTTCCTCGAGGGTGCAAACATATGAATATAAATGTAGTTCATGTGATAAACTACTTTCAAATAAGTAAAATAAGAATCTACCCTCGCGCATTTTCCCACAACAAAGTTAAATTGAAAATTTACTACTAAACTTTGCAAATATTTCACGTGTAGAGGAAATCCTTACTGCCCTGCAGGAAAAAATACTAGTACTTAAAATCCAACTAGTTTGGATTTTTACACTAAATGGTTTGTCTTCCATTTTTTCCATATGAGTGCTGCATCTCTACATCAGCAAAACTAAAAATAATTCGAATCGTGTATCACTAACCTCTAACGTATAGTGATGAGGTTATTAAAAAATATAACTCAACTGTGATGGACC